CAAGCGGTGCGGCTTCGTAGCTTAGCAAAGTCATACTAAAACATTTTTTGACAGATTTTTGAGCGCCGTGTACATAAAATCAGTTCGGTAAAGTAAACTAAGTAGATCTCATGCTCCTAGGGCTGTTTGATATAACGATATATATCGGATGACAATATAAAAACGTCTATCGTTTCATTTTACGCTATTGTTTGTTTTGTGGTGTCGCAAAATAAACTGTTTACGGCAATATTTTTTTCATCGTTTTGATGGTCACTGTAGTGGCTATATTAATTTCTTAAAGTTCTTTTTATGCGTTGTGGTTAGCAACAACGACGGTAAAACCATTGCGTGTCCGCTTGTTTATCTTTCACATAAACCTTTCACAATTAAAGCTCAAGATCCTGTTGAGAATTTTCAAAATAAACAATCACGTGAAAGATGTAGGGTTTTTACAGATGAGAAGCAAAAAAAGAGTCATCAGGTGCTAAAAAATAAACCTTAGACTCAAATGTTAGAACAGGCTTTTCCCCACAGCACACCGTGTAATAAATACTCACAAAGAAACGGTGGCCGTTACAACTTATGTCTAAAAATGTATAGTTTCATGCATCGGTTAAAACACTCGACTCTAGGTACACGACACCCAGCTGGAAACACTTCACGCAAGTCGAGCTGCCTGGGATTCACAGAATTTACAGAAAATGTTACATTTTTGTGATTTATATCGTTATTGGGACGATAGATGAGATTTTGGGCATATCGCACAGCCCTACATGCTCCCATGCTTCTTTCAGCTCCATATCGTTGGTTCTGCAGTGTACCATGTCTTCAGCAATGTTTTGATGGTTACCAATGATGGTGAATCTTCAGTATTGGTGCTTGTTGGCATCAGTGGTTCCTTTATTTTCATTTGATTTAGTCATGCAGATGAGCCAGTTGATGCAGTGGGTTGGAAGTGTAGGCAGCTAAAAAAAAAAGGTGTGAGTGGTTTACATCCTGTTTTTTTTAAATACCGCTGAACGTAGTTGTGAACAAGCTTATATTTACATCCTGTCAAAAAACCAACCCATTATTAGACCTGGCCTATTTTCTGCATTGCCACTGAGGTTCTAACCACACAGTTGAAGTGTTATGTGTAGTCATACTATCATAGCACAGTTGATTTTTACAAACACGCATGGATAAAAGCCAACTTTGTCCTACTTACGATACCCTGGAGATCTGCTGTTAAAGGTTCAATTTTAGGATACAAGGTATGAATTAATTTTATCAGTTTGGCTGCCGCTTTAACCCTCTGCAAGAAACCTTGGAGGATTTTTTTTTCTCTTGACTTTACAATATGTTTTGTAATGCTGGAGTGCAGCTGGCAAATCCCACTTCTATTATGACTCCTGGATCATCTTTAAGATCAGGCCTTTTCTGACTTAAGAGTGGGATTTTCATGTTCTCACTTTCTCTGGGCAAACTTATTGCATGGTTATATTCCTCTCTTATACTTCTAAATCTGTAAGAGCTTCTACAGAAAACAGGGCTTCTAGTCAATGAGATCGTTGACTCTGGATGATCCTGTCTTCGATATTTAATCTTGACACCTTATGAAGTTTATACATTTTTAAAGACTGGCTTTAACTATTTAATTATTACATGATTAGTATTCGTAGGAATATTAGAAACAGCAGTAGTAATGTTATTCAGTCTCTTTCTGCAAACGTGATGTGCACTGTCTTTACCATAGCAGGCATATAAACTACCAGTCTCTGTTTGTTTCTCACCTCATAGATCCCAACTGAGAAAGCCATATGTGCACAACAACCATGCTAGTATTGTTAATGGTGTGGGTTATGAGAAAGCACAGATGGTTATTTTCACTATTCACTATTCACTCTGCTGTCTTGTCAGTAGCAGTCTCACTCACAACTCATCAAATACAGCACATGGTAAGGATGCCATGGCATCACATTTTAAAGCACTGGTTTCTGCTTAAGCCTAATTAAACCTTGAGCCTTGAGATTGTAACTGAGCATTTTCTGTTTATGCCATTGTCACACCTTCTGTCACATTGTCACGTCACAGAATGGGAAACCTTTCCAATCTCCAGCAGGCTTATCACTGTGATACCCAAGAAAAGTTTGCCTTCTAATGTTAGAAAGTCTACGAATCAAATTCGGCAAAAGTTGGGACCATGCGCAAAAAGTAAAGAAAACGCAGTGAGTTGCAAATTTCATAAACCATTATTTTATTCGAAATAGAACAAAAGGAAAGGACAGCATTCCTCCACCAAAAGTCCAGAAACTGGTCTCCTCAGTTACAAACTGTTAAAAGAGGAGGGGGCGCTTATCGACTGGTAAAAATAGCCTTGTCCCAACTTTTTCGAGATGTGTTGCTGCCATCAAATTTAGTCTGAGCTAATATTTTCTTAAACTAGTATGGTTTTTCAGTTCATGTATTTCATATGTTTGTTTGTTTTTTTTATCTTCCACTCTGAATAAAATTAGTAAAATAAGTAAAATTCTATAAAGTAAACTAGTAAGCAGTGTTGGGTGTAATGCGTTACTAAGTAACGCGTTACTGTAATTAAATTACTTTTCCACTGAAAAAGTAGAGTAACTAATTACTGTTCATTTTTAGGTATTTAAATTACAGTTACTTACAATGTACTTGCGTTACATTGTAAAATAATTAAACTCGCTGAATATTTAATTTCAATAATTTGTCTTCTAAACGTAGAAGTAAACTCTGCCGCTTTAACATCGCTGTAGTGCAGGTGCACGTCATTTTGCGCCAGTTTGCTGCATAGTCGTATTCTAAAGCGGAAGATGTTGGACTCGGCTGAAGCGTGTGGCTGTTTTATGAAATGGACATATTCCCATCTCTTCACTTTTCTGAAACAAGCAGACAAGAATATTACAGGAATATGTAAGCTATATCCTGGGGAGAAAAAACTATCGGCTGCTGTTAATAGCACGAGTAATCTACTGAAGCGCCTGACACGAGAGCATAGACGAACACTTCTGAGTGATTCTTGTTCATCATCCATGGATAACACCGCGGCAACTCCTGCTAAGCAGGCAAAACTTGATTTTACTTCAGCAGCACAGAAAGCATCTTAAAGCTTAAAAAAGTGATTACAGGCTACATTGTGGAAGAGAGGCTACCGCTGCGTACCGTAGAGTCTTCGTCTTTAAAAAAAAAAAAAGTATTTATTATTTAAAGAGTTTAATTTCTATTGTTTGCCCACTCAAGGTTTATAGCGATTTTAAGAAGTATTTAGTTAAATTACTTATTTAGTAGTTAAGTTACTTTTCTGACACAGTAATTAGATAAGTATTTTAAATACAATATTGACTAAGTAATTAGTAATTAATTACTTTTTTAAAGTAACTTACCCAACACTGCTAGTAAGCTAGCATTGTCCTTCCCATTTAAACAAATATAATTAAATGTGACAGCAAAAGATTCTGAGCATTTCTTAATATTTTGGTGATTTGTGAATGAGCATGTGTTGATACTTGTATCTCATTTTCTCACACAGTACTGGCAACTTGCTCTGTGTTGATTTCTAACATGCCCCCATTTCACTTTTTGTCTTGTGTTTTTTTGTTGGGTTGGTTTTTTCTCTTTTTTAATTTTTTTTTTTTTTTTGTCTTTCCCATTTGGTTCTTTGGGGGGGGGGGTTTGCGTTTTGCTTCACAGTTAGACTTACAATAGTGACACATGTGGTTTTGCTCTCATTCAAAAAAAAACAAGACATCAAGGACCTGTCAGTAATGTTGCAGTTTCAAAATCACTTGCTGAAAGAATTATCATCTTCAGAATTGTAAAGAAAGCTTCTCTATTGAGTACATATACCGCATAAAACAGTTTGCAACCACTCAAATATCCTCTGTTTACAATGATACTGATCCACAGAGGCCATCCATTACATGTGACTTTTTGACTTTTTTTCCCTTTCCTTTTTTTGTGGACATTGGCAGAAGGTTTATAGTCTTGTATACATTTAACAAAGGCCTTGTGGTTTGACAGACTTAGGCTGGTGCATGGTGGTGGGTAGGCAGCGTATGTTGAGTACAACAGTGTGCTGCCTGTCTCCTGTGATTGGTGTCCATGGTGTCTTCCTTTGTCTGTGTGGGTTCTTGTACATTAAGCCCTGCCTCTTTTGATTATCTGCCTGTGTGGTTGTGTGTGTGCGTGTGTGACTGCTTAACTTGGCCATTATCATCCTCAGCCTTGCCTTTACCTTGCAGTCCTATCACTTCCCTTTAACCTGTAGGCATTAACTGTGTGGAGAGCACGGCACACTGGGGCACAAGACGGACTTCAGCCTGAAGCAACAGTGTCTTCCTGCAGCATCGCCAAAATGAGCACAAAGTGACGGCAAACAGCCTCCCAACATCATACATCGGAATCGGCAATCAAGAGCTGACAGTGGTTGCCTGCCCTTTAGCATTAGCGGTAGCTAAAATAACAGCTCTCGGACAGTGGCATAGTAAATGTGTAGTTGGGTGTGTGTGTGTGTAACTTGGCCTCCCAGTCCCTAGGGAGAACCAGCAAAGGAGTTGTGTTACACTCCCTGACAGACCTTATACATGTTTCATCTGCTAGCCTCAGAACAGAAGCCCCCTTTGTTATCTAATCTAGCCCTCTTCTCTCCAGCCTGAGTTCATCGCCACAAGACTGCTCTTCTAAATCAGTCAGCTGGCCACTGAGCTACACAAACACCAACAGCTGAGGAGCAGCAAAAGGACTTGGTTAAGCCTTCGATATCTACTACCAGGATCTCTATGCCAGTCTTATAATCCGTAGGCTAGCATGCAGAAAGGGCTTTAACATAAACAAGACCTGAAAGGGCTATGGGAGGTCTACCAAAGATTGTCAAGGATCTCAACTGTGCCTCACTTTTTCAGCCCTGAGCTTTTCTGCAATTCTTCAAGGCACAGAATTGCAAGACCTGTAATAATCTTAAGTAGTGTATCTTAAAAGAAGTGTTTTAGGGGAGTATTTAGAGAGCTAGGCAAAAATCATGACTGACACTCTTAGACCTCCTTCACTCCAGGTGAGTGTGCCAAAAGATGCTCCAGCATACTCCGATGGAGGAAACAATGCTGTGTCAGATGGCTCTGTGCGATCCAGCTCGTCAACACCAACCCTCCGTCGCAAACGCTTCAAAATGCGCCGCATGAGGAATGTGCCCAGTGAAAGGGAGATCGAAAGAGGGCGGCCGACCAACTGCCACCTTACAGCCAGATCTCGTTCCAGCTCCAAGGAGTACCTTCAGTTGCCTTCCATCGAAATCACACCATCAAGCGACGAAGATGCTGCTTCCTGGTCGAGGTGCTCCACACCAAGTGCATCTCCTCGCCGTAAGCGTTTCCTGTTGAGGAAGTGGCTGAAGGTCAGAGAAAAGAAGGAGCAAGGCAGTGAGAGCAGGTTTGTATGGGCCCTTTCTATTCACCTAAACCCCTCTTATTCCCTAATACCTCCATGATGCTTCATAATTCCTGCTATCTGCACTAATGATGTATCTCTAACTTGAGAGTTCAGTTGTTGGCATGGTATTTTTCAATGACTGAACCTTTAGGTCTCTGTTTAGCTGAGTCTTATGTACTGATTGTGCTTGTCCATATTTTGTTAGTTAATAAGTTAATAAGTAAGTCAGATAGTTTTTTGTTGAGTGTTTTTCAGTCACAAAGGGCTGTATGCAGAAAGACTAAACTAAAAAAGAACATTAAGGGCCATAATAGCCATTAAAAAATACAAAAATAAATTGCACAGATTGTTGCACAACATTAATGGAGTCACCAGAGTGTTGACCCCTGTCCACAGGTTACCCACATTAACAAGTTACATCTTCATGCATGCAGGAGGCATACACAGTAAATGTTTTCAGTCATTTACTCATAGCTTAAAAGGTTGATCTGATTACACTATTGAAGACAGATCAAAAGGTTTAGATAGTTTCCTCCTTTGAAAGTATGTGCGTGCAAAGTCTGGTATATCAGATAAAGTAATTAAGCGTGCAGCATGAGGAAAAGTCATAGTATTCTAAGTTGCAAATACAAATAATGTTGCAAATGCACTCAATTGTTCAGTCAGGCCTCTGAATGTTATTTGTAGCAGATAATCTAATTTTGCAAAGATAAACAAATGACTTAGCAAAAGCGACTAGTTAACTCGTTACTGACATCTAGAAAATACACTTCGGTGTCACAGAGGAAATAATAACAAAATTCTGATACTCTTTAAAATATATATATATAATACTACTATTATACTACTACTACTACTACTACTACTAATATAGTAATATTACAAACAACTTAACTAAGTATGTATTTCTCTTAGGTATTGACGAAAAAAATAAAGCCAATTTCTTTTAATCTTGTCTGAGATGGTGCTATGCTTCAGGTAACATTGTGCCATATTTTTGTTGCTGCCACTCTCTGTCACTGTTCCTGTGTAGTGTGTGGCTGGTAGACTTTTCCTTTTTAATATCCCTTTTTTAGACACAAACAATTGTTTTATCCTGTTAATTTAACGTTGTCTATTAATGTTACAGACAAGCAGGGCTGATAATATTTGCTTCCACATTAATGTTACTGCTTTATTGTTCTCCATAGGCACTAGCTTAATAATAACAGATGGCTAATGTGGCTATAAGATAATTGCTAATAGTTAAACAGGAAACCTCAACATTTATGAATTATGGTAAGCGTTAAATGCCTCAGTGTTCCTGAAGTGGGAACAGTAATGACTTCATAGAATTCCTTATAAAGTGTTGTTCAGTGTTACAGATCAACTTCAGCTGCTGAACACCACCCAACATTGTTCTTTACTTTAAAATCCATCACAAACTAACCTGATTATCCTGCACTAAACAGCAGTATTTTAATAATAACGGAGTCTGTGAAAAAACATAGCTTCACATCATATACAGATCCAATACCTGATTTTAAAAAATGAGGACATTGTGCCAGATTTGCTCAGTGGGTGAGCAGGTGACCATATGCCACATGGCTGGAGTGCAGCAGGCTGGGTTTGAGTTTGACCCACGGCCCTTTGCATCATAACTTCCCCTTCTCTCTCTCTTCACTTTCCTGTCTGCCTTCATTGTTCCACTATCAAATAAAAGCAAAAAATACACCTTTAATGCAGCTTTAAATTTCCAATTTATCAAATGCCACTGAGCAGTTCTTACTTTTTAGATATATACCTCTGTAGTTTCCCCTTCCATCTGTGAGTGCCATCATCGCTCTCCCTGAGAAACACAGCTTGCAGACACACTGTGTGACAAACTGCACACAAGCAGTTTGCTTTTGCTGATATTTGTTGAGCTCATAGAAATGTTGCATTTGAAATGACCCGCCACTTAAAGCACCTTACTCCCTTTATGCTTGCTCCTCTTCCATAAGACTAGCTAAATGCTGAAGTACCGCAACCACAATTAATGGACATCTACACCAAACACTCTGTTCTGATTGTCACCGTCCACTTTAACCCCGAAGTATAGGCCTATAAGTGATGTATAAATTATGCTTTTCATTTTTCTGTGTATGATAAGTCCTGGCAATGGCTACACAAATAACATCTCTTGTAGTCTTTCAGGTGTTGTTGTTAAATAAAAATATCCCCAAAATTTGTTAAAACCTAAAGTAACACCGCTGTTTTGAAAATTTAAAGAGTAGAAAATACAGATACTTGTATTAAAATGTAGAGAACGAAAGTTACAAGTTAAAGTAAGAAAAATAAATACTCAAGTAAAGTACAGATACCTGAAAATTCTACCAAAGTACAGTAACAGTATTTGTACTTTGTTACTTCTCATCTTCTTCTCAAATTCCACAGAACTATATGCAATAGAATAATTTGGTAATGTGATGACATTTAACATCCAAAAGGTCAAAGATTACCCTTTCACAATGGGTTCACCCGAAACCGTGGCTGATTGTGACCTACACCCGTTTTCACACCTTGGCTCGTGTAATTAGGTAGAGTATCAATATCAATAGGGGGTTAGTGATAGGGCTCCACCTGTCGCTCTGAAGCTTTCGGATGAGAGGTGAAACATCTTCAAGGAAACTTAAAGAAGTCTAGATGCCTTAGAGTACGATGACCTGGATGACTGAGAACCTTCAGACATATTTACTTTGGCATGTTAATGTTTTCCTTTTTTTTACTGGTATTCACAGCTATAACTCAGAAAAAAAGAAGGCGAGATTGTGACTGTGTTGTAATGAGACACAGAACTGGTGGCATTTACCTTTAGTTATCAGTTAGACATCTTTATTGTCTTCACTGCTCATATAAGTCTGGCCTGACCTGAATCTAAACTGTAACCTGCCTGGTTGGCCTAGGAATACAAATGCATTTTGGTTAGTCTAGTAGAAAATAATATTTTCTCCTCCCAAACCATGACAAGCTAGAAGGAAAAGCTCTGATAATTTCTCTTCTCGTTGTGTTTTTTTTTTTTTTCTGTCTTTACTGTATTTTTTTGGAGGCCACTTACCACTGCTAACAGCAGACAGGAATAGTTTAATTCTTCCCTCCATAAATGTGCTATCTTTCTCTGACTTGAAGGCACTCTCCAGAGGTGCATAACTGCTGCAACATCCTTGAGTGTGAAGTACGGTCATTATCGAGCAGTTCTTGAGAAAATCTCTACTTCTTCCTGAAGGTGTAATGTAAGAAGCGTTCCTCAGCTTAATAATGTACTGTGGCATAAAGCTGACATGGCTTCTCAGTGTGCTGCCTGGTACAACTGAATCTATTATGTAAAAGAAAAAAATATACCATGGTTTAAAACTGTGTGAGAGTGATATAAATAATTCAGATGTTAATATTTGTCGTTACTTAATTATTGCTGAAGCAGAACAAGAAGTGCGTAAACGTCCAAGACAGTTTGTTTTGTTTCACAATGTTCTCTCGCAGAGTTGATATTTAATACAACATCCGCTGTATCGAAACCTTTGTTACGACTGAAAGCTGTTTTCCCACATTCTTCTACTGAGTGGTCTCACATGACGTCACATGCGTATTGCTCTACAGCTGTCCGCCATGTTGGATGTGAATCAACCACATGGTTGCTAGATACAAATGTGTATATCACGACTGGCTGACAGCAGTTCCCAGTAGTTTCTGGCTGTTGCTGGGTGAAGAGGGTTGCAAAGAAGTTGATGCACCAAAAACCTCCCAGTGAGTTTAGTTGCTTTGGTTGCTAGCAGATTCCCGTGGTTGCCTGTAGTTTTTCATGTTTGTCTGCAAATAATCAGTCAATACTACTAATTGGTAAATGAACTGGTTCTTATATCAGTAGCTTTTCGACTCTACCTACCTTATTCATCACACGATAGATGCATCAGAGAGAAATTACAAATGGCACAGAATGTCTTTTACATAATTTTTTTTTCTCATCAGTAAACCCTCATGCCTTACGAGTGGGGCATCTTTCTTCCCGGAGAAAACATTCCCATGAGCATACAAATTTTTTCACTCATTACTCATAAGTGCTTTGTATTAATTTGCAGTGACCCTTTCCTGTAAAGTGTCTCCAAACCATGCCCGTAAAATGTCCCTAAAACTGTAAGTTCCTGTAACCTTCACTGTCAGAGTCGGTCATTCTGTTTTTTCCCTTAATTCATCATCAATCTGTAACATTCCCTGACTTTTCCTCCATACTGTTAACATTCTTAGAAATATCTACTACAATATCTGATGGCTCACTACGAAAAACGTATGAATGAAATAAATTGTTATTGTGTTATTTTAGGCAGCTTTTGTCAGCATGCAGCTTGAACCACCACTGTGACCTCCGATTTCCAATGCAATTTGTTTTCCTCTTATTTTGGAGTCTTTTTATACAAACAAATAAATAGTAACTCTAGATTGTGGAACCTAAAAAAATAATAAATAAGCTGTCATTCATGAATACTGTAGTTAGGGGTTCGCTGTTCAGTTCATTTAAATTGGATATAGTTTAACCTCATGCTATTGCATTCTGGAGGTTCTAAAATTAAGATAAGAAGTTAATTTAGATATGAAATATGAAGGGTATAACACACATCACATCATTCTTTCTTTTTAAAAGGCTTTTAGCTTAGTAGTTGTTTTTTGAGTGACATGGGCACGGCACAAAAGCAGCAGCCGAAGTAAAACCTATTAAACTTGTGCTTTTTAAAATGCCTACATTGGTTTTGTGACTTGAAGCCTGCTTTAATTTCCCAGTTAATATACAAACGCAGCAGAGCTTTTATATTTAACCACATCTTTGTAGATTTATAAAGGGATCTGGTGCTGTTACCTTGGTTATCTTGATCTTCTCTTCTGAAAGGCTTTAGAAATATTATATTACATTATATTATATATAATCGTAGGCATTTAGAAACATTTTTTGAGATGTAAGGAGAAATTTATACTTAAGCACTCTTATGTTTCATTTACATATAGGGTGTCGTTTTAGAAAATGTTACCTGTCAGTACTTGTTTTTAGTTTGTAAATGTGACATAAAATCAGCAGTAGAAATGTTGTGCACTCAACAATGTGTGCAAAAGCTTTGTGACGTGAAACCTGCTTCTAATCCTCAGTTAATATACAACTCTGGCAGATCCTTTACAGATAGTCAGATGTGTTGCAGTGTGAACGTTAACTCGGTTTTCTCCTCATGGAAACACTCAGAAGTATTTCACTAGGATGAAATTAAGACGTTTTACGCTTCCTGTAGTAAATCAGCCCATGATGCCTTTTACATTTCTAAAGAATTAACAGGTGTAGAATACGATTGATTTATTTGACTCTGACTGCAGTTTTAAAATTCTTTAAATAATTAATTCTTTGTTATACAACTTTAGCTTTTCATCACTGACATGGAAGCCCAATCGGTTTTCCTCTCATCAAACTGCTTTAAATGTTTAAATCTTTTGTGATGAATGCAAAATCATGAAATCATTTAAGTGTTATTGATTTTAATCCTCTCTAAGTAAAGCCTTGGCAACGCATTCTTTGTCCAGCCTGAGTGTTTTTACTTATCCCTTGTCGCAGTATTGACATGTTATCCTGCTTCATCTTAATCTTGTCATTCTGATGTTTTTCTCGTCTTGTGGTCTGACACATTCGGTGTGCACACTGTGTGTGCATGTGGACCTATGTGTATCTCTGCGTGTCTAAGATGGTGTTTCAAAGAACAGAGGGAGCTTACAGACACAGTGGAAGCTGCTGCTTGATAAGAGCAGAACAATTTCCAGAAAGTGGTAGAACATTTTTACCTAGTTTGACCCCTACTTGGTCTAAACTAGGGCTGCCACAAACGATTATTTTGATAGTTGACTAGTCACTGATTATTTTTGCGATTAGTCGACTAATCAAATCCATTGGACGTAAAACGTACAGTTTATTGCACCAGCACGCATCTGCTCTCATATAACTATCATTAGCTTACAGCTTTAAGTGTTTAAGGTATGTGCTAACTAAAAATAAAGACAAAATGATAGTTTATTAAATTTTAATGAAATTTGCAGATTGTTTTGGTGAAGTTTAATAAACTCCTTGCTATCTAAAATATAACAGGAAACCGGAGTAAATTCTTGAGCATCTCACACTTCTGATAATCAGTTGTCTGCTTGACGTTTATTCAGCTGTGTAAAAACTATAACTTTAATCTCAGCCAAACTGATTTATTCAGGAACAAATAAAATACAAAAAAAAGCCAAACAATACCATTTTTAAGTTATCTAAGTGACTTATATATGTTTAACCTGAGTAGCGAAAGACGGTGGTGGGTTTGAAAACGATTTGCTGGGAGTCCGGTGTTCTCACGGGCTCTAGTGAGCCTTGCCCCCTGCTAGCTATTGAGTTAGTGGGTAACAGACATCTCCGAAAACGTCGGAGCGCTTTTGAAAGTATGTGGTGTCTTGATAAACTGAGCAGATATTTGAGGTTTACACAGCTACATTCTCGCCTGAAAATATGTTAAACTTTATTTTGTGACCCAAAAAGAATAATAAGAGTAATATTAAAACTAACTAGCTGCCGCCATTGTTGGAAACTGAGCGGGGCTGCGCTATGAATTCTGGGACAAAGCTTCTTCTTCTTTGGGGTTTAACGGCAGCTGGCATCCTTGTACATGCAGTGCTGCCATCTTCTGTTTCAGTCCGTTATTACACTCTTAAATCCTACTACTTATTCCTGCGTCTTTTGGGATCTTACAAAGCTTCAAATGAAGCGTCGACTATTAAATTAGTCGTCGACGATTTTAATAGTCGACGTAATCGTGACTAGTCGACTAATCGTGGCAGCCCTAGTCTAAACATAAATATTTCAGCTACTCAACAGAAAAAAACTGAGATTTGAAGAGATTTCCAGAACTCTGCTGTTCTTCAGGTAGTTTCATTGCAGTCGTAGAAACAATGTTGGTATTTTTGTGTCATTATGTGAACAATAGAACTTTCTGAGTTAAAGAGCAGTGCTTCTGATTACATGTCAAAACAAGGTGAATTCTTCTACTTTAAGGTGTAAAGTGGTTAGTTTGGTCAACCATAGTCAACATTTGTCGTAATGTCTGTAGTTTTAGCATAAAGGTTAAAATCGTCTTCAAAAGACATGAAATTTAACGTTTTAAGCAAGAGAAGATTTTTTTTCATGGTTTTAGAGTAGAAAAAGAAAAAAATCATCATGTAGTTTGTAAAACTTTGAGCAGCCTAAGTGGTCTGAGCTCTCATATAATGTTTGCAAAGTCTTTATTAGGGTTATGACTTGTTCATAGGGAAGTCTGGGTGATGCACATTTCAAAGCTATACAAACCCTCTGACTTGGGGAACATCTAAATAACTGCATAGCATCTATAGTCACATGCTTGGATTGTGAACAGAGAAGTTTCATTGTTGAGAATCGTCCATCTTTATTTCCCCTGCTGCTTCCAGTGTGAAGGCACTGTGTGTCCATCTGGAGCACAGGGGAGCTGGTGACTTAACAAGGTCTGGAAATTTAAATAATTGCTTCTCATTAAGCAGCGGGAAGAAGATGGCAAAGTTTTGTCAGGTAGACAGTTCCACAGTTCACAGTGACTTAAAATCATAGTTAACAAGAACACTCGAGGACAAGTTGACTTCTGGAAGGTAAAGATTTACTTTGAGAGAGCACTCTTTGTACATGTCAAGCAGGATTGATAGAAAGGCAAATCCTCTCTAAGTGTTTGACTGCATTAGACTGGAATAGTAATGCACATTCTGGTCTGTGCTGTGACACCTACACAAATATGAACTGAAAAATCTGCTTACTGCCAAGTGAAATATTTGCAAATTAATTTAAAAGGAAAGGAAAGAAAAGCCTGGAGTCTTTGGAGTTAAGTCCTGGACACTGATGAAATTCAATTGAACTTTTTGGCCTGAATGAGCAACAGTGCTAGAAGCTGAAAATAAGGAGGGTTTCAAAATTGGACAACGTAAAGAGGTGTAAACCAAGGTTTTGTCAGAGTTCCCAAGCTTAGCATCGGAAAAATAAAGCTGAAGGAAGTCACAGAACTAGAAGCTTTATTCTGGAGCTGTAGGTTAAAATCCCCCCAGACAAGAACTGAAAGAATGTAGCCGCTATAAAAAGTGTTTATAAGCTGATGGGCTGTTATTAAGTACTAAGCATCAAGCCGCACATTTGCAAAGTTCATTTTCCCTTTCGTTTTTTTTTTTAAACTGTTATTTACTAAATAAATAAAGAAAATATGTATCCTGCGAACTGTAAACCAGTCACTTCTTAATATTTAAAGATAAGGAGATACAATATAAATTATAAACATGGATCATACGTGATCGAAGTTTGGATTATGTAGCTTTGTTTTCCTTGATTTTGTTGTACCTTTTAATGTGTTGGTTTAAAAAGGAAAAAGTAAGAAAGTATAATGAATAGTGTCGGGGGTATTGTACTAGTTGTGTACGAGCAATGAATAATTCAGTCTGGATTGACTCCATGTCTACATTCTGTTCTTATCATTTAGAATGAGCATGCTCTGAAGGACAGAGATACATACACCAGAATAAACACATCTGATTAGAGTGCATACAGTATGTCTTAGCCTTGAGTGAACAGCTTGCAGACACTCTGTAGTTGCAGTGGAGGAAGCAGGAGGGAAGATAGGAACCCGGCAAAATGATATGAAATTGCAAAAATTTATCTTTTGAGTGACATCTGCTGTCAGGAGTCAAGTTTTTGTACCAGAAAAGCAGCAGATGATCAGATAAAGCTAATTTTAGCTTGTTTATTGTTTTCGCTGTTTTTTTTTTTTGTTGTTACATGATACATGTTATTAACTACTTTTCATTTATATTAGTAGCAGTGTATACATGTGTATTATTAATAGTAAGAACTTAAACGTTCGAAAAGAACATTACAGATTACTAAAATAACTGATTAATTCGGACAAGTATTTTCAAAGTGCGTCAACAATTTCCCAAAATAATCTCAGGCTCCCAAAATCTGCATTTTTCATACATTCCAGCATCTCCTCCAGGCTTGGACAGCTCATAGCTGCTTTAGGAAATAGGTCAAGGCATCCCGCAGACTTAAGAGTGTGAATTAATGAAGACCTTTTTCCCCAACAGACTGGCTTTATTCTTAAATGTCAAAGCGTGGATGAAAATAACTGCAGAATTTTAAAATAGGGAAATAAATGCTCGGGAAAAAACGCCCTCTATTACGAGTGTATTAGTCATATACTATATAAAACGTTTAGTCACACTAAATAAAAAAGTAACTGATAAATAAACTGCAGCTTGTGCATTATTTGTGGTGTAGCAGAAATGATCCTAAATCTCTTCAAAAGATCTCTGGCTCCTAAGCTGTTCAAGCCCCATTTTTGTGAATGAATATTTTCTCTATATATATATTTAAACATCTGTAACCCCCCAAAAAACTGCAGAACTCTTTTTTTCTTTGCATAGCCCATGTCATATGTCGCCCTCTAGTGTTACCATGGGATATGTGCATGCAAAAACTGTAGCTGACACATACTTTACATGCTGACAGTGTGAGAGTTGAAACTAATAGATGAAATTTATTTTTATATAAGTTCACGCATAGAGTTTATTTGTATGTATGTTTGCTTTTGTTGTGTTTTTCTTTTTTATTTATTTTAGGGAGAAATAGGCCAAAAATAAATACATTTTAGATGCAACTTCTGTATTTCTTCATTTTTGCTGGAATTGTGTGACACTGACTGTCACCCTGATTTTCTTGCAGCAGCCAGCAAAGCAGTCAGCAAAGCAGCCTGCAGAGTAGCCATGAAGACGAAAGCAATCGCTTCTTGACTCCATTGATCCGAGAGGAGAGGTAAGCAAGTGTGTAACTGCTGCACGCGTTTGCCTTTGCATGAGACACTTTTTATGTGCAAGAGGACTTTTAACATGTGTTAGCAAACCAAGTCGAAGCTGGGATTTGAAGGTCAAACCCAGGAAGTTATGTACTACACTGCAAGGGTCACTCTGTAAGAATTTAATTTATTATTAGAGGAATTATGATGCTGTGAGCATCAGTGAGGGCACATACACTGTGTTTTGTGTGTCTATCTGATACAGTCATTCAAAGTGAAAGAACAATGAAGTCATTGTTTTTGGTCATTTCATATGCAGTCTCTGGTTATTGCATATATTCTCCAGTAGAGGGCAGTCCAAGGTCTATTTTTTTGCTAGTACTGACGGTGAGGCAAAAGGATTGGTTGTGGCTTTACATTTAGATATTTCAACAGTTTCATAAAAATGCTAATTGAAGCCTCATTAAAAAAAACATTATTTTTTTCTTCGAGGGGCCTCGTTCTGTGAAAATGGATTCAAATGAAGCTTTTGAACTATCCATAAACTTGTAAATGCCACACTCTGATTTTCCTTCTGATGTGACATTCATGAGAATTACAAACTGACAGAGAAGGTTCTTTTACTGGTGCCTACGCCGCAGTCGTAGCGGTCATAAGTAACTTCTCCCACAGCAATTAGAGGCTCTGCGTCCCAGAGCTCAGTTTGAGTTGAGAGATTAGCTCTTTGTCACTCTTTGCTGCAGTTGTCACAGCATCACTACCGAGAAGTAAAATCAGTAACTGAATCTGGTGCTTAAGCGTGTGCATGTCTTTATTTGTCATACATGTGTCGGCCTGTGATGTGATATCCAGTTTATATGGCAATTTTTACAATCAGATAGTAAAGCTGTAGAGAAGCCTTGATAATACATGTAGTTTTCCTATTCTCAGAGTACCGGAAGCAAAAGCAGAGTCTCTAGTGTGGTCTCTGTCCCTGCACAGCAAACTTTAGCTGTTCATCTGCTATAAATATTAAAATAATAATTTTTTAAAAAGATGAAGAAAAGGAACTTTGTTAGATCACTGCAAAAATTAAACAGATTCTTGCATAAGAAAACCTGCACACCAAATTTATAAGTCTTTCAATCCAAGGGTGGTGCTTAAAATCACACCAGATAATGACAGCCTGCAGGTAAAAAAAAACACAAGACTGTGTCAATAATTATTCTTCTAAACTGGCTAATTTCATGCTCATAATTTAATGTGGTGTGCCAAAAACAGAGTAGAATCTGGTTAAAATAAATAGTTTGTTGCTTTAGAGCAAATGAACTGCTGCTCATATTGTTCACGTGCAGAGCTAAGATTCAGTCAAGCATGATGCAAAAGTAGGACATCCTGAAGAGAAAATTTGCAAGAATCCCCTTCGTCTAGCCTCTGAATAACCACCCACTTAGTTGTCTTTGCTTTTAGCTCAGTCTACCAGAGCTGTGCACTACACCTCCACTGTTTCTCTCTGTCCTGCTCTCCCTCCCGCGCACTCTCCTCGCTCAGTGTCTCCTCTTACTCAAATCAGGAACAGCACCTGTGAAACCTATGGGATTTTTTGCCGCTCTTTTCTTTGCTGCACTGGTGATAGCTAGTGAGGTTTGTCTGCAGCAGCTGCAGGGAGAGCAGCGTTCTGTAGCCGGCTTTAGAGGGCACGGAATGTCATGTCTCCTCTGCAGGTAAAAACAGCTGGATTTCTGCCCGGCGGCTGCCTTCTCGCAAACTTCGCCCGTGTCGTCATCTCCATGCCAGTCACGCTTGTGTTTTTTGCTCTCTCTGCGTTTGTCTGTCTGCCTGGTGTGCTGCAGTTTTTGCTCGGTGTATGATGTGCGCAGCTGCATTTTCTGGTGAAGTGGCAGCAGGCTAACACAGTATGTGAACGTTTAGCTGCCTCAGCCAGATTATCAGGGCATCTGGGGAGGTTTTTGGGAAGGACGTGAAGACAAGTTTGCTCATTCCCTGTCATTGTCATGTTTTTGGTTTCGTTGCCTCTGACGCTTCTGCTCAACTCCTCCACTTTAACTGCAGATAGTGTTATGTAATATCACAATGTGACTTTGCTAAGTGAGTGTAATATGACTCATCGGTGAAGATGATGCAGCACATGATTGTGAGTTGTGAATGAAAACTTGTGCATTGTGAGACATGCCATCACTGGATCAATTTGCAGAATAGAGAATGCGTTTATGTAACTCCAGTGAAATTGCCAGGCTGTCATGTGACACTTAGCTTTAAACCCCCTCCCTTCTCAGAAGGTTTAAGTAATATATCCGCAGCTATATTTCCACCACCATATGAAGCACTACAATGCAGCAAGCAGACAGAGATAGACTTTATTTAATCATACACTGGGGAAGCTCACCTCCTCCAGATATCTATAACTAGATTATAAATGCTCAAATATTGAATTAATATGCACTGTGTGTTTTCATTCTTACATAATGATATCAAATTGTACACATTAGTAAATCATTATCCTGAATAAGTTTTTTCACATTCACAGCCAGTGGCTGCCCAGAGATTGTGGGTCTTGCACAGTCAATACCATTTTTGAATGCAAGGTGGTTGCACGGGTCGCCTGATAGGAGGCAACCTTTCTGCAAACGGTTGCAGTCTGATTTGTACTGACTGCAGTCACCCTCTGATTGTTGAAGGTTTGTAAATAATTGCACTTAATTTGTAAATGCAGACAGATTGCCCACATGCTGCCATCAGTCTGAATGAGTCTTTGTCAATGAGCTCAACTTAATGGGACAACTTGGTTTCAAGCAGGTTGTATTCTGGTTTTATTACTGTAGAACAGGAAGGCTCCTCAGTGTCTGGTGATTCCTGCTTCTAATTCCTTTCTTGTTTGGGTGGTTATTTGAGCTACTGTTGCTTTCCTGATAGTTCAAAGTGTTCTGACCAATCGCTTTTCCGGGGAAATCCCAGTAGGGACGCAGTTTCTGAAATACTAAGACCACTCTGTTTGGCATCAATCACCATGCCACACTCAAAGTCACAAATCATATTTCTTCCCATCCTGATGCTCAGTTTGAACGTTGGCAGGTCATCTGACCAGTGCCTACATCCCTAAATATAATTGCTTCCAAGTGATTGGCTGATTAGATCCTTCTGTTAACAAGCAGTTGTGGACACGCGCCTCACCTCATGCGTCTCAGGTAAATTATAGTTAGTAAGTTTGTAAAACTATATGAATATATAATGAATGCAATAGATTCTTTACATGAGTTGTTCTAAAGTGAGGAGTTATAGTTATTTAGAAGAAAAAGAAAGTGTCTTTTTGATGTCACAACCACATAATATGATGCAGAGTGTTTCAGCTGTTAGATAAAAGGCGTGTCTACAGTACGCTATGACTGAATGTTCTTTTTTTCCCCCGTGCAGGTCTGACAGTGCAGCGGACAAAATCAGGTGAGTCTACTTCCTCATCGTCCCCGTAGAGGTGGTGGCATGCATCGTATGCTGGTGAGCTTATGCACCGTGACCAGCCTTACTGTCACCCCATCTGCCCTGGCCCCACCCACCCCTCATGTGACACAGATTCACGCCTTTGTCCACCAACCAAGGTGTCTGAATACGCTTTACATTTGGAGAGGCCAGCAGTGAATACAGTTGCAAGCCATGGAATGCCATTGTTATCTTTTATTGGACAAACAACATTAGACACAAACAGGGCTTTGTAGGTTGGGCACTGTTGTGGAGATTGTAGTCCTTTAGCTACCCAGCCGGTGGCAGGTCAGCACTGTGCACTCACACTGTGGGCACAGACACTTTGCTCTTTGGGGTGTGAAGGCTGTGCAAGAGAGACTGTGCTGGACCTG